CACCTCCTAACTCTGCAATCAACAGGGGACACTAAGGTTCAAAAAACTATGCCCGTGCCTCCACGGGAGAGCTGTGCCGGTGTGTGCACGTCTGGTTCTCTCTCTCGCGCGCGCTCTCTCTCTCTCTCTCTCACTCACACACACACACACACACACACCAGATGGGAACAGAAGGTGCGGCTTAGAAGTAAAGGAAGACAGGTAGGTACACGTGCTTATGAAGGTGGGCACATCGGTGAGGACCTGCCCAACTCCTGACAGTGCTGCCTCCCCCACACCCGTGGGGCACGGGACCAAGAGCCTCGGTGTTGCCCCACCCTGCTGGCTATCCTGCCCCTGGGCTGGGTTTGGCCTTCCGCTGACTTCAGCCTCTCCACCGCCTCCACAGCAGAGTGCCTCCTGCCACTGGCCTGGGGCAGAGGTGAGAACGTCACACCACGGGGCCTGGTGTCCCCTGTGGGTGGAGCCCAGCCTGTCCTGACCTGCAGACTCTGGCGTGGGGCACGGGGTGGCACCGCCAGGTGGGGTCAAGGTGCCCCTTCACCCAAAGGATCACAACTACACTTGTGCTTCTAAGTCCCTCTCTGGACTCTCCCCGCACCCCAAGCTTTTAATTACAATGAAATCATTGAAGTTCTTGAAAGAACTTACTGGAATTCTATGTTACTCTAAGGAACACTGGTCCCCGACAAGGCTTTCACCCACGGGCTTCTCTTCGGGTAGGCCCCGGGGTGCTGATGAAACACACTCCCCTGCTTTCTTGCACCTGCTGACTGTGGCCCCTCTGGGCTAATGGGACCCCCTGTCGGCACAGGCTACTGGCTGTCCCTATGCTGGGGCGGGACCAGAGACCCTTTCAAACCAAGCACATCACAGGTAGGCCAGATGCACAGGTCAGATCACTGGGAACTGAGCAGCGGTGGGTCCTGGGATAGGCGGGTGGCAAAGGTGCTTCCCAGACATGTGGCAGGAGCCAGACTCTCCGAGGACATCATGGCTGTTGACGTTGATCTCAGATCCTCAGATGGCATCTTAGCACGCAGCAGGCAGAAGTCTCTGAGAACCCCTGACTCCTGTCCCCCATCTTTGGAGCCCAGAACTTAAAGCTGAGGATCTTGACCCAGAGGAGCTGGGGACAGGAGGCTCCAGGCAGAGGCTTTTAGAAAAGGGGGGCAGAAGCAAGACCCCTCCCCAACTGTGCTTGGGCCTTACAGGCGCCTGGCACCCCAGCCTATCCTTCCATCCCTGGCCTGGGCCCTGTGGGTGCTCGTGGTAGGGGGCTGATGCCAGCATCAGGCCCGGGGCACGCAGGTAATTTTCTGCTTGTAGCTCCCTGGGGCAGAGGCCCTGCTGCTGGGCACCCGAACAGGGGCTGCCAGGCCCATGGATGAAAAGTCAGGGATTCCAGCGCGACTAGCTGTGCTTGCCTGGCCCCAAGCAGGAGATAGAGAGAAGGGCCACAACCTTCCTTAAACAAGGGGCCTTTCCTGCCTTCCTGATGCTGAGCTGTTTCTGGAGTGTGAAGGGGCCTCACTCACAGGCTCTGCCCCAAAGAGCAAGGGGCTGCAGGAGGGGTGACTGTGGAGCCAGGGCCTGCTGTGCTTTGGGGTTGATAGAAGGACTGTGGGCAGAGCCAGGGAGGGAGACCTAGGCTCCTGACAGGCCAGCCGCTCCCTGAGCCGGCAGATCAGCCCCCAGCTCCGTGTGGCAGCGACAGCACTGCCCGCGCCCCCCACTCCAGCCCACCCCGGCTGAGCTCAAACGCCGTTACCTGGCAGGTAGATATCGGCCGGCAGGCGGGGCTGGCCGCGGCTGCAGGGCTCAGGGCTGCCGTCCTGCAGGACGTTCTCGATGGATGGCACTCGGCTCCCTGCAGAGGAGGGGGCAGGTCAGAGGTCTACAGGCGAAGGTGGCCACTGTCCCTCTTCTGGTCAGGATCCCCGGGAGCCTCTTTCCTCCCTGAGGGCTCTACAGCCACTGTGAGTCCAGTCCCAGCCCGAGACTCTGCTCTGACTCCCTCCTCTGCCCTCTAGGCCTGAGAGGCAAAGGTTTGCTTTTCTTTACTTCCCTTCTCTCTCAACTCTACCTCAGGGCTTTTGTTTTGACTTTTACTATAAAATCATTATGTACCCCTTTAAAAAAAAAAAACAAGAAGGAATAGTGATAGATTTAACATCTCCGGCTTACCCGTACCTTTCCCGCTGGCCCCGTGCCCCACAGCGGGGAGTGAGCGGGCCTGCATGTGGCCACCCTCCCTCTCAACAGCAGCTCCCGGTGCTGCCCAGGGAGCTCTCGAGGGGGAGGGCCCCTCCGCAGACGAGGGGCCTGGGCCCTGTGATGGGCACAGAAGAGAGCCACCTGGTCGGGCACATGCTCTGCACAGGCAGGAAGGAACGGAGGTCGAGAGAGGGTGAGGCCCACCCAGGAGCCCAGCCTGGGAGGCAGAAGTGACGACACCCCTGATGGGCCCCCTGCCCCAGGCGCCAACACTCACACCCAAACCCAAGGCCCCAGGCCCAGCAACCCACAGGCGGGCCCCACACACGGTGGGTGGGGAGTCACGCTGGGGAGAGACGTGGGTCACCCAGTGCAGTGCCGGCTGGGAACCTCCTGTCAAGGAGGGGGGTCACAGCAACTGAGCAGCTGCAGCTTATTTTGGGGTCTTCACCATGCTGTAGGCCTGGGAGCCAGCCAGCTTGCCAGGGCCACTTCCGGGCTCTGTCACCTCCACATTAAATGGCCTGGGGCTCCAACCACCCCAACCTGGAGCCTCTGTTTCCTCACCTGTCCAACAGTAGGGAGGAATGACCGAGACAAAGGAGTGGCAGCATTTCCCAGCTGGTAGAGGGAGGCTTGGGAAGCACCTGGTCACATCCTGCAGCCACTGGGAGGTCAGCTGGGGGTCATCCCCCCACGAGGAGCCCAGGGCCCATCGGTGGCGGCTGGGACTCAAGTCCCAGCAGGCCGCTGTATGCTACACTCTCCAGGGGACACAGGGGCACACAGAGGAGCAGCCCGGCTGAGCTGTGCACCCACACTGGGGACTCTGGGCCTCTCCAGGTGGCACCTGAGGACCCCGTACAGGACAAGCAGGAAGAGCTGACCATGTGCAGAGACCCAGGCAGGAAAGAAGATGACTGCCACTGGGAAATGCCGGCTGGGCACGGAGGGAAAAAGAAGTGGCCGGAGGCTGTCCCCTGGGATGGCCAGCAGAGAGGAGCCCGTGACTCCCAGCGGGGGAACCGGCACATGCTCTCCACACACCTCGACCTCCCGGCAGTGAGGCCCCGAACACGCTCCTCAAAGTGGAGGGCTTACCTTGCTTTAGTGCCGACGCCTCGTCCACGTCCTCCGTCACAAAGCTCTAGGAAACGAGGACAAAGTGTGTCCGCAGCTCTGCTGCCGCCACCGGGGGACGGGGCTGCAGGCCGTCGGGGGACAGCAGGGCGAGCTGACGCCGGCCCCCCCAAACAGGACCCACCCCACAGATGGGGAAACCAGCTGAGCTCACCGCGTGAGCAGCGGTGGCGGCGGCCCAGGGCACGCTTTGCCACAGGTCTGGGAGGCCAACAGACGGGCAGTAGGGACAGGGTGACAGATGGGTCTCGGCGAGGCGGGGAGGGGGCCTCACCTCGGGGGAGCTGCTTAGCGCCAGCCCCGCCCCACTCAGCGGGGGAGGGGCATCCGAGTCCTGGGAGAGCTTCTCCTCATCCTCCTCGTGGATGGGAGACGACGGAGACCGCAGGGTGCTGGCAAAAGAGAAGACGGGGGTAAAGGACAAGTGGCTGATAAACACCAACCCACTAAAGCCAACGTCACCCGTGGGTGAGGCCGGGGGCTGCCACACAGACGCCCCCAGGGGAGGCGGGTGCAGACGCAGAACGCCCGCAGGCTCAGCGGCTGGAGAGGGGCTGGAGAGGGGCTGGCGCAGGGTGAGCTGGCGCAGGCCTGCACGGGCTCCGTATCTCCGGGAGGAGAGGGCGTCCTAACGGTCCACCCCTGGAGCAGGGGTGCGGGGTGTGGGTGAGCAGCAGGAGAGAGCCCCACGCTACTCTGTGGAGTGGTCCTGTCACACGTGCAAGTCGTGGGGGCTGTGGCCGGTTTTACAGAACTTCTGCCTAAACTTTTCTTAAAAAAGAAGAGCACCCATGCGTGGAGACACTTAACACAGAAGGCTGGTTGCCCGCATCTCACACGCGTCCAGGTAAACCGTGACGGGACCCTCTGCTCGGCGGGCGTAACAAGGGCAACGTCGTGAGCAAGGTTTGGCGGGGCCCGGGTCTGGCTGCCACTGGTGCTCACACAGCAGGACGTGCTCATGTGACAAGACCCCAGAAAGTCCCGGAACCCTGCCACTCACGGGGCTCCCTCCTACATCCTGTGGTTTGTTGCTCCCGTGTGGCGTGGGACGGGGAAGGATGCACCCCCACCAGTGCATCTTTTCTGCTGCTTTGCTGTCTCGTCTGTCGTAACCAGCCTTAGCCATAAACCTAACCTGCTACTGGTTCTTGGTTCCGGGGGTCATTCTGGTGAATTCCCCAACAGAGCACTGTAAAACTCAAGTGTCTGCACTTCTTCCCGGACACCGCAGACCCCCCGCCACCTGCCACAGAGCACCTGGCTGGGTTCCCACATGCCAACCCCCAAGGGGATCCTAGCGCCAGCCTCACCTGTCGGGGGATTTGCTCCTCGGCTTGCCCTTCTGGTGGCTGCTTTCCAGGATTCGGTCGATCCCAGCAAGGGGACAACCGGCCTGGGACAGGCCATCTGAGACGCCTGAGTAGGTGATCTCTTCGTAAAGGGGGGCTGAAGGGACGGCCGGGGAGATGGCCCGAAGGCCGTTGAGCGCCTCAAGCAGGGAGATGGGCTCATAGCCGGGTGGGATGCTGTCAGAGCTCTGTGGGGACAAGAGCAGGTGAGGGACGGGCTGGCCAGGCTCCCTGCCCACTGCCCTGGGCCACAAAGCCCCAGACACTGGCCTTGTGCCCCAGGGATGCTCTACTCCCCAGAACCTGCCTTCTGACCATCTCCTGTCCACTCTACCTTCCAGAGACCTATATCCACCTCCCTCAGAGGGACGCCAAGAACACCAGAGCAGCCTAAGACACCCTCTGAGGGCCCCCTTAGTCATCAGCTGCAGCCCTGGACACCCAAATGGCCCGCTCGGTGCCCGTGACGAAGGAAAAGAGGGCGCCTAGCAGAGCCTCCCCACCCCTGGTCTCGGCCAGCCCCTACCTGGCTTTCTGTTCCTGCCTGGCACATGTGGAGAGTGAGGGGTCAGAGAGAGAGAGGAGGGCTCAGGAGCGGGTGTAGAGCAAAGCCATGCCAAAGGCGGGAGAGCCCAGTGGAGCCGCGTGTGTTCTAGACCAGGGAGGGCCTGGCCCCGCAAGGAGCTCTGCCCAACACAGGCATCTGGCCCAACTCGAGATCCTCAGTGGGCCTGAAGCAAGCGTCCACAGGGGCTGATGCGTGTTCCAGGTGGTTCTAACGGGCACCCCTGGTTCAGAACCAGTCTCCTCCAGTGCTGGGAGAGGAGCACATCAACAGACTGAGACTTGCTTTAGGGTTAAAGGTGGGGAGATGCCCAGGTGCTGGGAAATGTCAGGCCCCCAGGCCACACTAAACAAGGTGAAGGGCAAACGCCCAGCTGCGCGCCCCAGGTAAAGCCCCACCCACCTGACCGCTCCCCAGAAGGAAGGGAGGGAGAGCCACCTTTCAGGGCAGCGACGGATCAACCCTGGAGACCAAAGGAAGGCAGAAAGGCTGGGGTGGGGGCTCCCTGCCCTCAGCACACAGCCTCCTGAGTCCCCTGCATTTGCTCCCAACCTGAACCTCCTCACCCTCCAAATGGGAAAAACCTCTACCTCCATCCCTGGGATGGCCCTCCAGGGATTTCCACCTCTCTAAGTTCTGCCAAGGGGCCACAGGCGTCAGTGAAGGCTCCAGGCAGAGGCCGCCCGCCTGCTCCCTGAGATGCAGGGAAAATGCAAGAAAACCAAGTCCTCGGCCCAAAGAGCTCACATCCAGGGGGAGAGGCAGAGGATGCAGGACAACAGGCAAGCGCGAGGAAGACTGTTTGCAAAAACTAGCAGCAACGTGAGTTCCACCTCCGACATCATTCCACTGCCAGCAAGAAAAAAAAGGGAAACGAGGCCACTGGGGACCACGGGCAGAAGCAGAGCTGGCGAGAAGGGGCAGCCTGAGGCGGGCGCCGTTGCCGCCTGGCAGCGGGGATCCGAGACACTGGCTTTTTGCCGACAGACCTTGAGCTTTGCTTGTTCCACAAAACTCCCTTCCTGGGCAGGGACGCCGGGACTGGGGAGAGTGGATTTGACAGATTAAATTAACCAAACACGTTAGCCTGGGGTGAAAATGACTTCCCATACTTGTCATTGGTTTAATCATTAGGGTGCGGGGCAAAGATGTAGCCATAGGGCCAAACACACTTACTGTTTCCCTTTTAGGTTTCTTGCTGGCCAGTGAGGCGGGGTGCGCCTTTGATTTTTTAAAGGGACACTGTCAAGATAAAAATCATACGTTTTACGACTGCCACCCCCCGAACGGCGCTGGAGCTGGCTGGCTGGGGTCTCTCAGCTTTGCCGGCCTCCAGGTCAGCCGTGAGCCTGTGCCTGGCAAACCGCACCTGCACGTGAAGTTCGGGGACCTGACCAAGTGCAGATTCTGCCCCAGGGGCCTGGGCCTGGACATTTATGCCATTGGTGGAGCCCATCCCTGTCCCACTGCCCACCCGTGGTCTGGGTCACCCCAAGAAGCCGGTCCTGGCCAGCACAGGCAGGAGAGTGGCCGGGCGCTCCCCACAAGTGGGCCCGGCTAGGCACAGGGAAGGGACAGGCTCCTGCCCGTTTTTGAGGCTCTGTATAAACTTATTACCAATGTCCAACTCCTCGAGGAAGCTGGGGAGAAAAATTGGTCCCAAATCACCCCTACTCATTGATAACATTAACAGACCCGCTGAAGAAAATTTGGCTTCTCTGTGGCGCTTCGTGGAAACTGCTTAGACGGGACACGTGGCAGAGAACAAGAACCCACGTACCCTACCTTAACCCTCTAGAGGGGAAGGCACTGGCCCTCCGGGGCAGGTGAAGCTTACAACCCAAGCCTCAGTGTGGATAAGAGGGGCAAACATGGAAGGTCAGGCCTGATGCTCAGACGCCAGGGCAGAGCCTGGAGTGGCACAGACAAGCAACAAAAAACCCGCCATCCACCCCTGGGTGTCCGTCCCTCCAAAACAGTGACTCCTCCATCAGGAACCAATCACACCTCAGCGCTGCTCCTCCCTCTACCGGAAGTACGCTGCTGGAGGAAGTATGTGATGTTCCTCGAGCCCAACATGAAATCTGCTGGAGGGCTGTTCTGGGAGTAGTAAGCCCTGGTGCCAACAGGGGCCCAGCAGGCAAAACACATAGTGTCGCTGGCCCGGGATGAGTGGGAGTGATGGGACCCCACCTTAGGGCAGCCTTGTGTCTGCTCCAGCTGTGAGACCACAGGTTCATATTTTGAAAGAGAAGCCAGAAATCTGAGTCTTAAGGAAAATTTCCAGACTTTCTTTTTTTTTATGTTTATTTATTTTTGAGAGGGAGAGAGAGAGAGAGTCCCCACACACGCACAAGGTGGGGAGGGGCAGAGAGGAGAGACAGAATCCCAAGCAGGCTCCGTACATCAGCGCAGAGCCTGACACAGGGCTCAAACTCACAAACCACAAGACCATGATCTGCGTCAAGTTCAAGAGTCAGACACTTAACCGACTGCGTCACCCGGGAGCCCCTACAGACTTTTAAACATTGGAGCAAGGGGCTCCTGGGTGGCTCAGTTGGCTGAACACCTGACTCTTGGTTTTGGCTCAGGTCACGATCCCAGGGTCGTGGGATCAAATCCTGTGGTGGGCTGCATGCTGAGCGTGGAGCCTGCTTAAGATTCTGTCTCCCCGCTGTCCCTCCTCCCACTCACGCTCTCTCTCCCTCTAAAACAAAAAAAAATTTAAATAAACAAGCAAACTTTGGCCCAATATTCAGAAACACCATATGGGCCAAACATTACACCCACCGGCCCAATGCAGGAACCCATCTTGTGGGTGTGCAAACCACAGGGTTTGGGTCCTTTGTCCCATGTAGACAGTTGGCAGGGCCTCTAAGAATCAATGAATCCCAACAACCTCAGCCGAGAGCCAAGAACATAGACCCACTGGCTGACAACTGCTGTGGCCGTCTGGGACCCAGGAGCTCAAGACCTCTGCCTGCTCCTGGCCCCTTTCTGCCCTGCCTGCCCTGCCAGCCTCCCCTTCCCACCCTATCCCTGTCTCCATGTGCCTCTCTGCCCATGTCTCAATACCTACCTTCCTGCCCTCATTCCTGTCTCTCTTCATCTCTCCTGGTGTCTCTCTCCGTGTCTCTGTGATTCTGTGTCTCTGCTCATCTCTCTGCCTATCTTTCTGTGTCTCTACATCTCTCCCTGCCTTCTGCCTATCTCTTGAGCCAGAGAGCCATCTCTCCCCCCAAAGCCTGACTCCGACTCCCCTCATCTGCCAGCACAAGCTCTACCTTATGGTTTCCCGGAAGCAAGGTGGACACCTGCCAACGTGCCCTCCTGTGTGTCCAGGCCAGACACCCCTTTTCAGGGGCAGAGAACACGTGGCAGACATGTTGCAGCCGTCCTCTGGACGACACCTCACTTCCCAGGACCCACAGAGTGGCCCATGGCTGGTAGAATGATGGTGACAGACGCTCCAAGGTTACCTGCCATCGGGTGTCCCTTGCTCTTGGCAAACAACAACACGCCCCGGAGCCGGGGCTCACTGGGCCCGGCCTGGATCACCCTGGTCAACCTCACCACCACTTGTGGCAGGCAGATGAGGGCAGAGGCTCAGAGAGGCGGAAGACACAGAGGGAGGCAGGCAGTCTGGCCCCGCCCTTCCTTCCAGCCACACTTTCAGAGTCCCTGACCAGCAAGGCCCCACTGGGAACCTGAAGCCACTAACACAAAGGTAAGCCCTGAGGGCATCTGGACGCCTGAGGGTCTCTGCAAGTGGTCAGGGGCTTCCTGCAGACCCCCTCCTGACTCTGCTGCACACCCCTCAACAAAGAAGAAAGAGGCACTTACGGAATGCTCATCGTGGTCCATGCTCTGGGCCAGAACAGGGCTGAAGGAGACCGGAGACAGGGCTCCTGGCTTCTTCCTCACCGCCCGGATCTGCAGGAGGGCCCGGAAAGCTATGGCAGAGGGAAAGGCGCCCATCAGGTAAGGGGCAGCCAGTTCCAGCACCACTGCACCTCCCCAGGCTCCGGGGATGCTGGCCACCCACCCTACAGTGGTCCTGGGTCAAGCCACGTTTCCGAATCCGAAGCAAAACAGAGTCATAATGAAACAGCCCAGAAGAGAGCTCTCTCCCCCGGGTCCCGCACTGTCCCCAGCTCAAGCAGAGCTGCTAGGGCAGCAGGCAGGGCATGGTAGCGTCTCACATGCCAAAGCCCCCACCATGCACTCAACGGTGAGCGTGGCTGGGTCACACCTGGTGACCAGCTAAAAGCCGAGTGGGCCTGGACACTGGCCAGTGTCTTCCTGGAAGTTATACCAAGGGCAGGCAGACGTATGTACGTGAACGTCGCCGACGGCACCTTCTCTATCCCGGGAAACGAGAAGCAGCACAGAGTTGGGAATAAGTTAGGAGGCAAACTATTGATGGTATAACGTCAGGCCCACTAACAAGAGTGTAACGTTTACGAGAAGTGCACACACACAACACACAGTCACAAACTGCATCAGCACTCGCTGCAACAAGACCAGAGACAACCACATCCTCAGTGTGAGCAGCAGTCACCCCAGGTTGCGGGCCCCAGAGACAAGGGTCCTGGTCCAGCTCGTCCGGCCCAAGTGCTACATACATCTGCCAGGGACCCTCGCTCTAGGCTGTCTAGACCCTGGGCCTCCAGATCATATGCACCCCACACCCCTGAAAATGCCCAGGAGGCGAGGCACGTGGGGGAGGTCGGGGCTCAGACAGCAGAGGCTACCGGCCCTCCATGGTACAACTGCCCCAGCACAGGCTGGGGGCCCCGCCGCCTGTCCCTCCAGGGCCAGCACACGGCCCCCCTGCAGCCTCCCCTCCCAACCCCCAACACCTCATCAGGGCTGGGCTCCGGACCCCACACACCCCACGGCCTCATCCTCTACCTCCACGTGCTCAGCCTGCCCTGCGGTCCGTGCACACACCTGTCTATCTCAGGGGACAACCAGTGGAGACCCACCCCCGCCCCTTACTAGCTGTGACCTTGCACAGGTTTCCTCTGAGCCCCGGAGAGTGATGATAAGACAAGCATGGCAGTTCTGGTCACACAGCTGCATTCTGACTCGGGAGCATGGGGTGAAGCAGGAGTACCCCCTCCCCCGCCCCCAGCCCCAAGGACGCTGTGACCAGCACACCCAGGTGTGAAACGGCAGGAAGGCTTTCTCCAAAAAGCCATCATCTACCTACTAAATGATGACACCTGCAGCTCCGGTGAGCGGTGAGCGGGCTCTCTCCTCACCCACACCCTGGTCCCTCCCTGCCGGGACCCACCCACGAGCCTGATGCTCATTTTGATCCGTGGGATTTTCTGCCCTGAGAATGTTTAAATTCCTCCACTGGAAGACAAACACCATTCAGAATCACAGTCCATGCAGTAAATTTGAGAAAATGTCTGAAGTGCTCCAGGAAACCAATCCCTCAATCACTTTCCACCTAGCTCACTTCCCACCTCACCGGGATGGTTTTTTAAATCAAAATATTTTCCATGTAACATTTAAAGATTTGAGGGGCAGCGGGGTGGCTCAGTCGGTGAAGTGTCCGACTCTTGATTTGGACTCAGGTCACGATCTCACAGTTCGCTGGGCTCTGTGCTGACATCACGGAGCCTGCTTGGGATTCTCTCTCTCTTGCTCTGACCGCCCCGCCCCCTGCACACGCACGCTCTCTCAAAACAAATGAAATAAAAGTATTTTTAAAAATAAATAAAGATTTGATTCACTGGTCGATTTCTGTCCAGCTGCAATTTCATTGCAAGAACCTCCTTGGCGCACCCTCCCCGGCCATTAACTCCCCGAGTCTAATTTTCTGAGGAGGGGGGCCACGCAGGCGCGAGCGGGGTCGCCGTGGCTGCTAACCACCCGCGCCACCTCCACGTCGCATTCGCCGTGCCCTGGGCGGGAGGCCCCACTCACGCAGCCGGCAGATGGGGCAGTTGCTGGCCTGGTAGCGCAACGTGTCGGCGCATGAGTTGCACAGGCACAGGTGCCGGCAGGGCAGGATCAGCGTGTCCCGCAGGTCCGACAGGCACACCACACACTCGTTGCTGTTGTCGCTGTTCTCCTCGTCCGACGGCTGCAGGGACACGAAGGGCCCCGGGGTCGGTGGGCTCCCACGGGCCAGAGGAAGGGGCCGGGGCGGGGAGGGGGGCGGGCAGGCGTTTCCGTCCCTGGCCGTCCCCCCGGCCGTCCCCCGCCTCCCCTGGGGGCTGCTGTGGCAGAGGGGAGCGAGCCCAAGAGAGCAGAAGAAGGTCACCCCGGAGCAGGACTCCCTCGGGACACGTGGCCCAGAGCCGCACTCACAGGGCACCAAGCTCCGTCCCGGCCTGTGTGCGGCCCAGCACAGAGGACAGCCTGGGACTCCCACCCACACACATACCAAACCCCGAAAGTTCTGGTCTCCTTCTATTCCTCAGAACCAAAAAGAAAACGTGGAAAGGACCCAACACTACGGAGCAAGTCTTGCACAGGGTACCCACTTACTGGGTTAAAGCAGAAAAGGACTGACATGCCCTACCCGCCTAATCGAAATGAGTGTCTGGATCAGAAGACGGCAACACTGCACAACAGGAAGCTGTGGCCCCACCACCCGTTTCCATAAATAAAGTTTTACTGGAAGTTTACAGCCTTGCCCCCTGGTTTCCAGACGGCTACGGCTACTTGCGCGCTACACGTAAAATCAGGGCACTGAATGGACACGACAGACACGGTACGGCCAGTACAGTTAAAATATATACTTCTGGGCCCTTAACAGAAAGTCGGCCAGCCTCCAGTGTTAGCATGTGAGACACACACAGGGCACTCACTTGAGGCTAAGGGCCTGATCAAGCACCAAGCTGCCCTGACTTCCAGCTTCTAGTGGGTTCCAGAGATCACAGAAGCTGGGGTGCAAGACTTCCAGACATTTTTAAGAGATGGCACTTTCACTTGTGCCTTTAAAACGATGACAAAGGCACAGGTTGATGCTCTGCTACCCTTCTCTGGCTGCGCCGGACCACGGCCCTGTCAGACACACGTTTCAGTTACAAGTGTGCAGGCGCTCGTGGCTGGGAGGTGAGCCGGCTGGCGGAGGGTAGCACGGGGTCCCGCAGCCCCAGGCTATCTCTGCTAACCTGACGGGTGGCCACCCAATGGTGTTAACAAGCCAGGGAATCTGCTGGAAAAAGGACAAAATATCCCATAGATCCTGTTCACTTACTGATTTATTATTATTTTTAAGTAATCTCTACGCCCAACATGGGGCTCCAACCTACAACCTCCAGATCAAGAGTCACACGCTGTACTGGCTGAGCCAGCCAGGCACCCGTCTCTGTTAAAAAGGTAAGGAAAAATGGAGCCTGGGGTCCCAGGGCCTCCAGGAGAAGGCACACAAGGGGACTAGCTCATCCACCACCAGCCCACGGGCCCTGGCCAGGACTGGGAGATCCAGGCAAGTCCCTCCAGGAACCTGCTCCTATATGGGTGGAAGGAAAGCTAGGGAGGGAGGTCCATCTGAAGTCTGGCGGGTGTCACTACAAGCACATACCTTTGTCTCCTGGTTGTTCTTGTTCTCGATGCCATAGATCTCCTGCAGCAGGTAGCTGACCCGGTCCACCTGGAGAGCAGAGAGGTAGCCGGGCACTTGCCCGCCCCCACTCAAGGGCTCCTCTGCACCCACCTGGCCCAACAACACTTCCCGGGGGCCGGACCTGGTTCCCAGAGCAGTCGTGGTTTGAAATTCTGTCCACCCGCACCTCAGGGAACGGGCCCCATGCCAGGAGAAGGGCAGAGAATCTACTACCTGCCCGGCCCAACCAGTTGCACGGGCAATAGGACGGGAGGCCCGGTGGTTCTGCCCCCTGGGGGGCATGGTGCCAACCTCTATATGGGCCAGGCAACCATACCCTCTGCCCACCTTACCATCCCCCTCCCCAGAGAAAAACTACTTAGAACCCACCAGTCACGAGCTGCACAAGAGTGACCAGTCAGCCCTTACACTGACCAAGTTCAGAAGCAGCCTGAGCTGCTGTGTTTCCCACACGGGTCTATGGACCACAAACACGCCCTGTGCAGCTAGACGAGACTCAGGGCTAGGAGTCAATGCTAGGACACGGGCACATGCACACACCCGAGGAGGCAGATCCAGACTTCCCAGGGCCCAGATGATGACCCTGGAGTCAAAAGGGATCTTGATGTTTCTTCTACCAGACTTACAATTTGCTTCTGCTTTAAAGGTTTCACAGAGAAGCTACCGTCGACGTGCTACAGGGGAGAAAGATGCAGAGATCAACTCAGTCAAGCGGGTACCACTTAGCACTCTGCTTGGCAAGCTGCAGGCCGTTCCCCAGCCGTTCCACACCCACAGCTGAAGGACGGAGCCCAGCCAGTGTCTCCAAATGTGGCCCTTTGACTGGGCCTCGAAACTACCTAGAGGACCACCTCCTGGGTCCGCCCTGACGCAAGTAACCCACTTTCTCTGGGTAGTTCTCTTAAGCACATTCAGGTTTATGACCATCGGCTGGAGTTCTTAGAGCCTCCCAATAGCAAGAAGCAGCACCTGGATGGCAAGAACTAAGACAACCGAGTTCTAACCCCGAAAGGGCACGGCCCAGCCAGGAAGATAAAGCATGCACACGCACACGTACACAGGAAAGCCCCAAGTCTAAACACGCCAAGAACTAAAGAGGATAGATGTGTTTGGTGGTATCTGGGGAGGCACACCACCGGGAGATGGAGGAGGTTAATTAAGGGACAAGACCTGAGATCTTGCAACAACACCAGTTGCCCCTCCGAGTCAACGGAGACCAACACTAGGCATTTTCAGGATGACAGACTCCAAAAATAAAGCAGTTTCTCATTGGGCTCTAGACTGGAAAGGCCAACGGCATGTTTGCCATTGACGGCCCCTAACTCCGCCAGAGCAACGCACAGGAAACACCATCCCTTCTGACAAGGCCGGGCTTGGGGAGCGTAGCTGGTGAGGGAGAGGCCCAACCTCTGCCCTGGGCGCTCTGTGTCACCAGCCCCTGGGGCTGGGCAGGGGGAGGCAGGGGGCACAAGACAGATGATTTAAAAAGGGGCCTCAGGCCCAGCTGCACTAATCCCTGGGGTGTCTGGAAAGACCCAGAACACAGGGAGGAGTTGGGCACTGCCCTTAATGCTCTCAAGAATGCAGACACACACCGGGCTGAGAAGGCTGGGGGTCAGCAGATGCCCATGTGCAGTGCAAAGCCCAGAAGAAGCAGCCTGAGCCTGCTTTCCTCATGGGGTCCCTGATCCTCGTCCACCCAGGCCACAGGCCGGTGCTGAAAACGCTTTACAATCTCAAAGTGCAGGCCAATGTTCTGGGGACGTGGGGCTGTAAGCCATGGCCTTCTCCAACAGGGACTCACCCCACCACCTCCAGCAAGGGTCTCGGTGAGCAGGGATCTGCTCCCAACACAGCCACGCACGTGCGTGCTGCATGAACACACACACAACTGCTGGCCCCCATGAATGGCAGTGACCCCATGACATCCTAACACGGAGACAATGGGGAGGCTGACAATCCCCACCACCACAGCCAACACACCCACCGCACCCTAAGTACTGTGGCCACGACACACGAACAGCAGGGGAGACTGGGAACTCAGGTCCACACAGACGAACGAACATCTAAGTTCAAATACACATCAGGCCGAAGGTAGCATTAAGTGAATCCTTGGACGTAAATGGCCTCTTATATGTGAGGCATCCCCAACTCAGGGACCCCAGGAGGGCCTAGATGTGACCCAAGGACACGACAAACAATTGGCCCAGTTCTGTCCTCACAGACACCAGAAGTAAGTACAACAAATATCTGCCCCAGAAGTCTGAAAGGCCGCAGTGGGATGTGAGGTCAACCCAGCTCCATGGGACCAGGGTGACACAGCCACCTGGAGGGACGGCACAGCAGGCATGCAAGGACCAGGCCAGGCTAACAGGTTCCCATGGCCCTGGTGGGAAAGGCGGGGGTCCTGGGTGGTGACAACCCTGGATGACCCCTCCACATCCCAGAGAGAAGCTGGTCTATGAGCAGAGTCCTCCACGGGGGTGTCTGCGCCCCTATGCTGGCAGGTTACAGGGGGTTCTACAGGAGATGCCCCCTTACCACACACCAGACACCCTTTGAAAACCCTCCCGCAGGGGATGCTGCTTCAAAGCCCAGCCTCCTGGAGCCCAGAATATGTGGAGAGCCTCCCACCTGCCCTGAACGTCAGGGCACTAAGCCCATTTGGCCAAGGCCCAGACCCCAAGTTCAAACTTCTAGTTTCAAAACAGCACCCCTCTGCCCAGAGCTCCCAAGTCACAGTCAGAGTTAAGGGGCAGGGTGGCACTCACCTTTTCAAAGGCAGCCAAGAGCACGTGGGCGTGGCCGGTCACCTCCACAACTGCCCGGGGGGAAAGAGGAACCGGTGGTCAGAGCTGGCCTCAGTCCCTCCTCTGCCCCCAACCCTGAACTTCTTCCTAGCTGGTGCTTTCCCAGGCTCTCTGCCAGAGACCCCAAAACCTAGGGAGGACCGTCCTCATCTTGCCTTCCTCTGCCTGGGGGCCCACTGCTCCCTCTGGCCACATCTCCACGGCTGGCTCTGCACGGAGGGACATTTCCGCAGGGCCGAGGAGCTGGGACTCGGCCGGCAGGGCTCCCACGCTGGGGGCTGGGGGGCTGCAGCCCACAGCAGTGGCAAGCCCGGCAGGAGGACACAGGGCCGGTCAGCCAATGAGAGTGGCTGCCCTGCTCTCTGGTCTTCCATCGACCCGCTGGGGGCGGACATAAAACCTGAGGCCTGTCTAGCGGCTGCTACCACAGTGGAAGCCAGGCAGCTGGCAATTCCTGAGTCGGGAGAAGGAGCTGAAGGGAGGGCCCCACAGCCCAGGAGGGGGCCCGACAGACGGACAGCTTGGGGCTTGAACCCTACAGCCTTAAAAGTGCTAAGTGGGCTGAGCCAACATCTTTCACCACGTCTGGAATCAACTCCTCGGCTGATTGAGGAGAGAAGCGTCCATGGCCTGGAAGGGGGATGCACAAGGAAAGGCCGCTCACCATCTCCTTCATCTACCACGGCCTGGATGACCACTGGAAACACGCCCCGGTCCAGGTCAAAGTTCAACTGAGGAGAAAACGAAGAGAAAACAGTCAGACTGAGCTGGAGGGAGGAGGCGCGGTGAGCAGGATGGCGTCGCGGCAGAGCTCATGCGGACACAGACAAAACGGCGAGGGAAGACAGACGTCAGGCTGCACTTTTCCCATTTCGGCGAAATAGATAAAAATGACTGACGTGGCAAACACGTGTAACTCAGTGGCATTAAGTACATTTGTAAGGCCACGTTCACCACCTCCACCATCCATTTCCAGAACACTCTTCATGTCCCCACAGGAACCCTGTCCCCATCACCACTCACTCCCCAGCCCTCCCCACCTGCTAAGCCCCACTGTGTCCATAGGTACGTCCGGTCTGGGCATCGATTTTTTCTGTCTGGCCTCCTTCAGTGAGCACCATGTTTTCAAGGTTCACCCATGCCACACGCGTGCCAGTGCTCCCTCCCTAAGGCTGAGTGACACTCCCACCACACGGCCAGACCACACTCGACCACTCCCAGCTAAGGGACACCTGGGTTGTTCCCCTTTGGGTGCCACGAGCACCGAAGGACAGCATCCATCTGAGCCATTTTCCGTCCTCCTGGGTGGGCACCAGAGGAGAAGGGAGCGGCGACACCGTGGCAGGCGGATGAGCTCAAGGAGAAACCCTCTCTCACTTTTCCTTCTCCTCCGTGGCTCCCAGCTGCCCCCTGGCCAAAGACCGCTCTCCTCCCCACATGTGTCTCCCTGGGCGTAGTCCATCCACATCGGCTCACCAGCAGGGCCACAGGACAGAGGTGACCACTGCGGTCACCCGAAGCAGGGCTGCAAGGGGAGGCCCAGAAGGTGCCTGTGGGTCTCAGGCTGCCAGTGGGAGGCGGGACTGGGAGGGGCCAGGTGTTAGGATGGAGTCTGGCTCCACCACCCAAGCCTCAGTTTCCCTGTCTGTAAAAGAGGGATAAAAGCTATGCCCAGTGACCATGGTGGTCAACAAAACATGCCATGAACACCAGCCATGCAAAGCTTGGCATGTTCAGGCAGCAGGAGCTGAGGAGGACAGTGGCCTGGGAAGGCCTCACAGAGACACAGGCCATGGATTCCCAGGAAAGCAGGACTACAGGAAGCCATGTGCACACCAGCTGCACGCGGGGCGGTGAAGAACGTGTTCAGGACAGGACCCAGCCAGGCCGCAGGCTCACGGCAGCCTCAGGGTACAGGGAGCCTGAAAACCAGCAAAGAAGCCACTCCAACCACTAGGACATCTCAAAAGACGCCCACACTACAATGCAGTAAAACAAGTTATGCTTATGTGGGGATGGGGCTCTATGGGAAATCTCTATGCCTTCTTCTCAACTGTGCTGTGAACCTGAAACTACTACGAAAACTAGCCTTAAAAAATAAAAAGCAAACCATAACCAAGAGAAATAAAAACACACACCCACACCAAAATTTGTATAGTGACGTTCAGAATGGCATTACTCCTAAGAACCCAAAGGTGAAGACAACTTAAGCGCCCGTCAGCCAGTGAACAGATGAACCGGGCATGGTCCAACCACACAGCGGAGTATCGTGAGCCGTGGAAAGGAATGACGTGCTGACAACTGCTACCACCTGTGTGAGACACGCGCTCAGTGACAGAAGCCAGTCACAAAAGGTCGCACAGTGTATGACTGTTTATTTGAAACTTCCAGAACAAGCACATCCACAGTGATGGAAGTAGATGAGTGGTTGCCAGGGGCTGAGGGGGAGGCTGGGGAAGGAATGTGGACAGGCAGAGCGTTTCTTCTGGGGGTGACAGAAGTGGACTGGGGTTACATGGTGGTGATGGCTGCACAACTCTATGAATACAGACCTTCTACGGTGGGGTCACATCTCGAGAAACCCCTCAGAAGTTCAAAGTATGAGAAGTCAAAAACGCACTTAATAATACACCTCGCAGAACGTGAACACGCTCAAAAACATCAGCCTACAGCGGGTAAAACCACCTAACACAAAGCCGATCTCATAATTTAGTGCTGAGTATCTCACATGATGTACTGAACACTGTAGTGAAGGAGGAAAACAGAATGGCCACCAGTTTGTGGTCATTTACGCTCGTGACCATGTGGCTGACCAAAAGCCATGACTCCTGCCGCCTGGAGTCCTGAGCGAGGACTCTATTGCTAGCCCAGGGAAAGGGGAAAATTCAGACTTCGAAGTGCAGTTTCTAGCCAATGTGCGTTGCTTCTGTACCATCGTAAATTCGAAAACTCTTAGGTTGAACCATCTGAAGTCAGGGACTATCTCTACGGTAAATATCACCAAACTGTACACTTTAAAGGGGTGAAAATTAGGCCTCAATAAGCTGTTTAAAAAAAACAAGAGACATCATATGAGGACTTTAAGATGCACAACAGATGAACATAGGGAAGGGAAGCAAAAATAATATAAAAACAGGGAGGGGGACAGAACAGAAGACTCTTAAATTTGGAGAACATACAGAGGGTTACTGGAGGGGCTGTGGGAGGGGGGATGGGCTAAATGGGGAAGGGGCCCTAAGGAATCTACTCCTGAAATCATTGTTGCACTATATGCTAACATGGATGTAAATTTAAATACATACATACATACATACATACATACATACATACATACATACATAGAAAGGAGAAGGCCAGAGGAAGTGGCTCTGGGAATTAAAGCAGAAAGGTAAAGCCAGCAGGCAACAATGCAGTGGAGACAAGAGTACTTATCCTCTGGAAATGTATCCACACACACTGTTCACTGCATTCATGCTCAGATAAGAGCTTTGCCTTCAAGGAGTATGTACTTCAAAGGGAAAACATAGGTTTTTGAATTTAGATAACTCATTATGTGTAATGATGTATCAGAAAATGACTTTCAATGATTGTGGGGGGAAAAAACAAGCTACAGAATACTATTTCTATGCATGACGGCATCTTGACAACAAACAAATGCACAAGAGAGAAAAGTCTGGAATACACCCCCTAAATGGTCAGAAGTGGTTGCCTCTGGAGAAGATTCAACTGGAGCGCGTTTTGCCTTACAAATTCTGTATAATTTGCACATTTTACAATAAGCATACATTACTGTTGTAATCTTTAAATAGGCAAATCCAGGAAAATGGCTAGAAAGGAGGATGGTGAGAGGGCAGTTAGCCATGTCTGGGACATCCCTGGTTATCACCACTAGGGGGGGCTCCTGGCACCTGGCGGGTGGAGGCCAAGGATCAACATCCCACAGTGCCCAGGACAGCCCTCACCACAGAGAATGATCTGGGCCCCAGGGCTCAACAGCACTGAGACTGAGAAGCCCTGGTTGAGGAAAAATCTGGGTTTGGTGCCCGAGTATCTGTCAGGCTTCTAACACCTGCCAATGTCCGCTTCAGCACCTTCGGCAGTCAATGACACAGTGACAGGACATCGTAACAGCTGGCTCTCCATACAGCTTAACTTCCAGAACCTTCTACCTATGGCAAGTTTAAGCAGTTTCCCAACTATGGTAATAACTGATAGTTTCCTTTTAAAAACACATGTAGGGGCACATGGGTGGCTCCGTCAGTTGAGTGTCTGACTTTAGCTTGGGTCATGATCTCGAGGTTTGTGGGTCCGGGCCCCGCATTGGGCTTTGTGCTGACAGCTTGGAGCCTGGAGCCTGCTTCGGATTCTGTGTCTCCCTCTCTCTCTCTCT